GTTCTGCTTCCGGTCACTTTAGTGCGCCCTGATTGGTTGAAGCAACCAACAGGGGTGTGGTTCTAGTGATGTCAAAGGGTTTTTACAAGTCAAGAAAACAGCAAGAATGTTTTAGGAACAGACAGAGAATTTTTTTGGTGAAGTGACTAACACTGCAGGTGCCAGTTTTCTTATTTACTGTCTGAGAGTTTTAAAAACACGACAGCCCGTTCTAACAACTTGTTTTTGACTGTCTCTGACTTTTGACCGACATCACTCCTTCTCATTTCAGAGAGAAGATCAAAAAATGCATAATTACCTTGTAAATAGACATTTAACTTGATTTCTAATTTGAATGAGGATTAAAAAATCATTAATACTGTTTCACAGTTGATTTAAAATGAGTGGTTCACTTCAACATTTAGAAATGGTATGAACTAATTACACTTTTGATTATCAAGATATTGTAAAATAGTGATGATAATAAAAAGAAGAGTGTTCTTTCAATTGATTAATTCTGGATACAATTAGAAAGTCTCTGGATGAGCTAATTTGTATTTCTGGATTCAAATCAATGAAATAACAGTTCCTGTCCCATGAAGGTCTTCAGAGGCAGGTTTTGATCGGAGGCCTAGTCCACTACACTACAGACTGACAAAGTCCTCTGGATGGTGGACGAAACATTTCTCTATTAAATAAACTTGTCCAGATGACATGATTTAAACTTTTTTTTTTGTTGTTATCTACCTGGATGATTGAGAGTAAAAACATTTTTATATATATAAATAAATTTATACAATGTTTTTGGTTATATATAATGTTTTTTTGTCTGAATAAAACCTCAGTGAATCCTATTTCACAGGCTTTTTCCCATCATCATTATGTATTGTACTGAATTGAATTACAAGTGAAATGTATGAGAAAGAAACATATTTAATTTATTGTTATTCAATTAGTTTTTTTTTTTTTTCTTTTCTGAAAGTGTTCTGTGATTATTTTACTGTGATATGGGACAATATAACTAAAATAAACCAAATCAAACTAAATTAGTCATTATGTAATTACCAATTTACAGTATTATTGCATCACAACATGGCATCATATCATTGTACAGTAAATGTAATATTCCACTGGGCTGCAACTAGTTGGCAAACGGCATCTGCAAAAGAGTCTCCTTAATGTCTGCAGGATTCACTGTGACATTTGTGGGAGATCTCAATTCCTTCACGTGAACCTGAAGAGCATTCAATCCTCTGCATGAGTTACATTTACAAACAAGTTGAAGCAACACATTTTATCTCAGAATTGTTACAGTTATTACGGGTGTCTTGAACCTGTCTCAGTCTGTTTCAAAACTATTGGAATGTTGTCGTGGTCGTCTCCAGCCTGTCCTGATAACGAATGAGTTTTATTTCACTCCTGAATATGAGCTTTCCTCAGACAGAAAATATTTCCACGTCTAAAAACTCACAATCATCCATTATTTTTTACCAGTGGTGTTGTCTACATTGTTGTACTGGGTATACTGTGCTTAGAAACCAAAGTACACCAGTTAGTACAATGTAATCATCAATTTATTTTGACATTTAAGCACATTGAACATTTCAAAATGTCTCTGATGCTTATATATGAATAAAGGTACAACAAGGGGCGGCTGTAGCTGAGCGGTTAGAGCAGTCATTCTCCAATGCAAGAGTTGGGGGTTCAAATCCACCAGCAATCACATGTCAAGGTGTCTTTGGGCAAGACACTGAACCCCTTGATGGCTCTGATGTGTGTCCCATCAGTGTATGAATGTGATAAAGCTCTGATTAGTCTCTTTAGAATGATTTGTTCAATTAGCTTTGTAGAGATCTAGTATAGAGCTGTATGGATGGGTACATGAGGCACAGATTGTTGTAAAGAGCTTTGAGTATCTTGATCAGATAGAAATGTGCTATATAACTACAGTCCATTTACAACAGTTGGCTTTGTTTTAAAAACCTGTTATAGATTGTACACAACTATCAAAGCAAAACATGTTCAAGTATTAAGTAGTAAGTACTGAAGTAGTAATTATACAAAAAACAAGTTGAACCAACTCAATGTGTTTATAAAATGTTCCAAATGTGTTGACAATGGCACATGTCCAATAATATGGCATGTATCATTGGGCACTTTTAAGTGGGCATACTGAAATTCCCAAGCGTTTCTAGTAGGTATACTCTGTATACCTGTGTCTCACATAGACTACACCATTGTCTATTACACACTCCTTTCTTTTCGGGCCACTGCTGCCCATATCCAACAGTCAGCACCCGCTTGAAATGTTATCACCCATTAAATGTCCGTTATTAGTTGTTATCATCCCATAGGTTGCATTCAGACTGCCCCTCCTGTACCTCCTATTAGATTTAAAGGTATGTTGTTAGTGCTGATAATAGGGTCACGTGGTTAGGTTAAGAGTAAAGGGTCTGGGGGTTAGGTTTATTGTCTGGGTTAGGTTAAGGCTCAAGGGCAAGGGGGTTTGGCTTAGGGTCAGTGCTCTGGGTCAGGTGTAAGGTTAGGTTTAGGAACTGGGTTAAATAAAGCTAACCAAAAAAAAAAAAGCTTCCAGTTTTCCATGCATGTTATCAGCGATAACAACAAAAATTTAAAACTACTAGTAGGTAGGAGGGACATTCTGACCCCAATCTATGGGGATGATAAACATCTAATAACACTCATTTATTGGGCTAATAATAGCCAAAGCCACAGACAGTTACTGTGCGAGAGGCGGGGGACACCCTGGACAGGTCTCCAGTCCATCACAAGGACACATTGAGACAAATGAGACAAACAACCATTCACTCTCTCACTCACACATAGGGGCAATTTAGAGTTACAATCAGTCTAACATGCATGTTTTTGGTCTGTGGGAGGAAACAATCAAGATCTCCGGAGTTCCCATAGAAACCCACACATGCACGGAGAGAACATACAAACTCCACCCAGAAAGATCCCCCCTACCAGGATATGATCCGGCGACCTACTCAATGGGAGACAACAGCACCACCACACAATAATTAATATTGCTGTTAAAAACGGGTCAAAATCTGATAATTATTAAAAATGATTCCATAATAGTATATCATAAATGTGGGGGTAGCTGCCAAAATGGGTGCAAAGCTCACCCAGGTAAAGAGCAAAATAATAATACATGGCTAAGAATGCAGTTTTGCAAGTCATACACGTGAAAGTAGGCTGTGATGAAAAATAAAATAAAATAAATAAGGTCTCCTAGCAGACCACATGGCTCATTGTATGTTTGGTTAGAAACTCAGTACTCAGTGAAACTACAACAAAATATCTGCCTAATTTCTCACAGTCTTCCAGTAGTTTTGGGTTATCTCCAACAGGGATGCACCGATCCACTTTTTTAAACTTCCAATCTGATCCCGATACCTGGATCTGAGTATCGGCCGATACCGATCCAGTTCCGATGTCATGATCATCATTGATTTTATATGAGGTTGTAATAATCTCCTCTCAAGTACATTTTGTACAAATAATACATGCATGTCCAAAAAGGCAACTTGAGGTAAGTTTTATTAATGTTGGATAAGTTTTAAAGTTAGAATTAAATTCTGCTAAAACAAAACATGTTTCTTTTTTATTCCTTGCTTTAAAGTGGATATTAAAGTGATTAATTTAAGTGATTGTTTAAAGTTGTTTTATATTTTATAAGGGGCAGATATAAGAATGTGTTTATTCTTTCTGCACTCTTTTCATTCAATGTTTTCTTTTTGATGATTTTTTTAAAAATTTTGTTTCTTTTAAATGAATGAATAAATGGATTAAAATAAAAATAAATAAGGTAAATGGCTTCAAACATCTTCTAAGTTCATGACATAAACCAACAGATATGTTCCTGTTTTTAGTATTTTACATCACTTTATAATGTAGCTGTTTTTTTTTTAATATATATATAATTTTCAAATCATATTTTTTTTTATTTTTTTTTTTATGATTGTCTACATTGTGCTGATAAATATCTCCTGGAGGGTAAACTATATCTTGACTGCAAGTATCAAGCTGTGAAATCCTTCATTTTCTACAACTGATAGTGGTTGGTCATTAATTATGATGAAGTTTATCAACTTCTCTGTAAACATTAGAGCTCCGTGGTTTCAGCGATGTCTTCTTCTTGTTCAATCCAAAGCAGGCAGCCTGATTTGGGGCAGCCCCGCTCAGTCTGTCCCTCCTCAGAGATGAACAGACTGAGCGGGGCAGATTGGACACGGCTGGCTGAGGTCGAGTTGGCCGCCCCGGGTTGAGCAAAGAGCAGCGCCCCGCTGAAGCCACGGAGCTCGAATGTCCATTGTAAAACTAACTTTAACGTGGTTTAGTGTGGCGCTGTGGCTCTGCAGACATTGCACGTTGCTGTCTTGTTTTGTGGTGTTTAGTGTAAAATACTTCCACACAGCGACATGTTTAGATGAAAAGTTTGTTAGCTGTTAGCCACAGTGCTGCTAACTCAGTCCTCACGTTGTAGCTGCTGCAAACTATGAACTGGATTTCCTGAATGTGAGGCGGGTCTTATTACTCTGGGTTCATGAGACACGCCGCCGTTCAGGAAATCCATTCCATAGTTTGAAGCCAACATGTATCATGGATCGGAAATATCTGCAGGTTGGATCGGAAAAATCCAATACGTAAAATATGTTGGTATCGGAGGCCGATACTGATTCTGGATCGGATCGGCCCCATCCCTAATCTCCAACTGACTCATCTCATAGTCTCACACACAGTCCAGTAAGATACTACCTAAAGAAATACTACCCAACATTTTTAGCAGCCACTATTTTACACAATAGTGGCTAAATACTTTTTACAATCAATACAATATATATTTTTTTCTTTTTTGTCTTTCCTTAGATAGAGAATTACTAATCTGCCTTTATGTATGTGACTGTTCCTGTAAAGTGCCCTGGGACAACTTTGTTGTGATTTGGCGCTATATATTAAACTGAATTGAATTGAATTGAAAAAAGTTTGCAAACCCTTTTGAGAATGATGATTCCCTCTTGGTTGTGCTCATTAGTGGTAATGTCAAACATGGCGCCTCCGTCGCCTGGCACAATCGTGTACTCTACTTCAGCATTCCTCCCGATGTCCAAGTCATGGGCTTTTATCCTGCCGACAGCAGAGCCCACTGCAGAGGATTCAGGAACTCGTAGGTGAAAGAAACCTTTCAAACAAATTGAGAAGAGAGTTTGGTTAATATTTTACCATTACTCGATTTTAAATAGAAACACATAATAATTGCCTTTTTAGATATTTATTCAGTTGCCAAATTAAGTTTTACAGTATTCATCCATGGGTAAAGCAGGTGATATTCTGAAAGTGTAGGCGTTGTACATTAAGATCGCTCAGTTTCTTCACTGGTTGGTTCAACAAGTTAGACAACCAAATTGACAATATTAAGAGCTGAAACATTACCAGCACCATCCAGGACTCACAACAGGAGCCAGCAAACAACAAACTATCATTTACACCTGGAGCGGAAGGAAATCAAATCTCTGTGCTTCACTTCAAATTCTAAAATCAAGTTCAAGATTCATTTCTACTTGTGCCAGAAAAAAAAATGATAAAGTCACAGTTGGGTTTAAGAGCCAGAGCCTACATCTGGTGACACCATAAAGTGGATGTGAGTAAACTGGTGTGATACACGAACTAGTGAAGAAACAGCTTCATGGACGTATAACATTGAAATATCAGGTCTCTCTTGTAAATGAGTCCTGGAGGCTCAATGGGATTTACCTGTCTAAATAAAGGTTGAATTAATATGTTTTCCTTTTTTTAATTAATGGAAGATCAAAGACTCAGTCTTTCATGTATGAGGAGATATGCATCAAGAAAGTAAACTGAAGCACCACTTTTTTTTTTTTTTTTTGCTTTAAAACAAAACAATGTACACATTTTGAAAAGCAAGCCCTTTACAGAGGGTGAGGAGAGGAGAATAAAGACAGGAAGCGACAGGGCAGAAGAGTCACCATACTTGGCCAAACCTCTGTGCTGTGACAGCATTATGGAAATATCATCGTCTCCTCTGCGCCAGAGGAGCTCGACCATCAGACTGATTGTATTTACATTCAGAGGAGACCTCGGTGACTTCACAAAATATACAAAGAAGCTGCATGAGTACAGAAGAGTATTTTTGATGTCCAATCTTTGCACCTGCTAGTTTAACCTACAATATACATTGTGCATAGTTCACATATTCTTAGAATACATAAATAAGTTTCCAAGAATCAATAGATTTCCAGCTCCATGAGTTATTTTTTAACATAAATACATTTTTTTTTTTTCCAGTTAGGCTTTTTACATAACTTGGTAACTGCTACAATTGAACTAATCTGGTTTAGCAGCTTATAGGACCAAAATATGCTGTTTAGATACACAGAGTCCCTGATGCTACACCAATATGTTCAAATCTGATCTAAATATAGCCAGGAGGCACACGAGCAACAGAACACCCACCCTGGTTTATTTGCCAGGAGTTGTAGCTGTAGATGCAATCACACTAAATAAACAGGCCATTGCTTGTGACAGTGCATAATGACAAATAATGAAAAGCAATTACAGAAACAAGTGATGATGAACACCCCCTGCCTTTTTGTAATTGAGCACTGTTTATTTCATTATTAAAGCATGTGTGAACCTATCATTATAGGGAGATAAACTTTGTGTATTAAATGATCATATTGAGAACTGTTAAGTGTTAACTCACTTTTGGAAAACCTTGGTGAGTTGTCGTTGACGTCGCTGAGGGTGATGTTGACGATGGTGGTCCCAGCCAGTCCTCCCAGCTGCCCACCCATGTCCTTGGCCTGGATTAATACCTGGTACTGTTCCTTCACCTCTCTGTCCATATTGGACAACGCCGTTTTTATAACTCCTGGTGTACAGCAGGATTGATAGGCAACAGGTAAAAGAGAAGTGAGAAACAGAGGGAAAAGGGAAAGAGATAGGGAAAGGAATAGAGACATAAAAAAGGAAAAGAATGGTAAAAGTTTTCCAGAAATATGCGATGCACGGTTTACTTCAAAATGCACAGCGAATGTTCACCTTCTACACTCCTGCAGAAGTCCATCTGACTAGGACTGAAATAGAGGTCATCCCACAAACTGGAAGCACTTGACATTCAACAGGGAGCACTGGTGAAGCCATATAATGATTCACTTGAGGATCAGAGACCCTGAGATCAGACAGCATTTGTAGCGCAGATTAATAGCTAGGTCAGTGGGAGGTGGGCAGGTTAAAGACAAGCATGCAGCACAGGCTTGTCCGAACCTTCTCCATCTATTATCCCATTAATTACAATGCAAACATTTGATTTTATCCAGAAATCACTACGCAAAACCAAAATAATACAGCGATTCTTCTGTCATAGAGAGGAATGCCTCTCTGCAGCCTGTATGCTAATTAGCATCTTGTTGTTGCCCCCACCCCCACCCCCATCTCTTGTTCACCTTTTACCTCCTGTTGTTCACTCTTCTTTTTTGTGCCCGTTTGGAGATAGCAGCAGACCCAGCAGGGCAAACATTTGCTTTAACTGTTCTTCTCCTGCATCAGTTTGAAATACAATCACAGCAGGTGCTCTGCAAAGCTCTGGGATGAGCAGCATGATCAGCAGCAGATTTCACCGTATCTGGCTGTGTGAAATGTATGAAGCTATTTTCATATGCATTGGTTTGCCCCAGATTGTAAGCAACAGCAGCACATTACCAGCAAACACTGGCAGTATGAAGTTATTTCAGATTTAGAGCAGTCATCACTCTTACCTCCAAGGTTTTTTTGTTTGTTTGTTTGTTTTGTAACCTGCTTTTGACACCATCCTGCTGTAGGTGCAGACCTATGCATGATTCAAATACCACGGAAGTTGTGTAATTACACAACTAGCCAGCATCAAATATTCAGTACATGATTATTTTTATGTCATAAACTCTACTGGCATTCTATACTTCAGTTGCATTTAAAATAAACATGTTTTGAAATTGCATAAAGTTCTCTACAACAAATGCTGAATATTTTACAATAAGTTACTGAATATTTTACAATAAGTTACTATGCACATTGATTTATTAGTTTGTATTTTTTTACAGGAATCATTCATTTATTTTATTTATGTCTTGTTAGAAAATAATTCCAATACTGACATGTATTGACATGAGACATGTTATGCATTTTTTATGTATTTTTATTCTTTTGATAAACTGTAATGTGCAATATGTGGGCAGTGATTAATGTGGCCTTTTACACTAATATTCAAAGAAAATAAGCTCAAGTTGTTTTTACATGTTCCCCTTTGTGAATCCTCAATAAATCATGTGAATTGATAAGAAAGACTAATGTTTGTAATGCCCAACACATTTATAGCACAATAGATGTGATGATCAATGATGATCAATGATGATCAATGATGATCAATGATGATCAATGATGATCAATAATGCATTGTCCTAATACGTTATTTTCTAAAGAACATATCCAGGTTGTAGGCATCACATTTACATTGTCTGACATCTTTATATAACAACATAAAGTTAAATTCTTAAGAACCATTTTTTGAAGAAATGACCTTTCCTCCTACCAAATCACTTCTTGTGGTCATGATCTTAAATAGATCAATGAATAGAGCATTTTCTGGTCATTGTTGCTTGATTGTCCTCATAAAATCACATGTTTGAGACATAATCAGCTGAAGCACAGCAGAGAGGGATGGCAATAGATTGCAATTTGTCTAATTATTTGTTTTTTTGTTTAAAAAAATATTCCTAGGCAATGTGCAACTTCTTTAAGAGTTACTGTTTTGCTTTAACCAGAGATAGTATACTCTTTAGTGGGAAAAAAATATCAAATAACATTTGGAATACAGGAAAAATGGATAATTCTTTGAGCAGTAAAAAGCTGTTAGATGTACAAAATTCCCTTAGACAAATAAAATAAGGCTATCTGCTTTCTCATCCGAAGTGTATTGTTACACTCCATCATGAAATCATAGCTCAAATGAAACGTTAAGCAGCTTACCTGTTTTAGGGTCAACAGAGAAGTACGGTTGGCCATGGATGATGCTGTAAACCACTCTCGCACTGTTTCCATACGTAGGGTCATCTGCATCTGTGGCTGTTACTTGAGTCACATAGGTCCCTGCACAAAGGAGTGTGAAAAACATATTGACTTGGAGTTAATCGGCCTCCTCACGAGACTGAAATCCAAACTCTTTGAAGTTCATCAGCTTTCCAAACGATCTCACCTGACACTAATGAGCGGGGGCTCACTGGTGAGAAACCTGCTGCTAATGATGAAAAGTGAAGGAGTCTGATAGAGCGCACTGACAAGATGTGCAAGTGAAACATTCATGTATTGCAGGGCAACGGAATATTCTTGTTTAGATTTTGCACACTTACAGCAATACATAGCAGCAATTAAAAAAAAAAAAAGATTCAAAAGCTCTTGTGCAGCCATTCATTAAACGTTGCTACCATTAAGAAAACAAAGCGCCGAGACAGGAGCTGAGTTAAGATGGCACTCTTCCAAACTCTTAACAGCGACAGAATAATTACAAGTAGGAGGTTTGGCTCATCTCTTTTTTACTATCTGGCAAACACAAAGTGTTCAGTGTTGTGTCTTTCACAAAGTCAATATTTATTATGTTGTGTTTTTAAATTCACAGACTGAATCAAATGTGTTTGGTTTTAAAATCCCAAAATGCAAACAGATTGTTCATAATGACCTACACATAAAAAAAAGCACATCTGGACAGTTAAAAATAACATACTGGATAAAATGAGAAGCCTGTTCAGAAGATGCCGACCAGAGGGATGACACTTAATATGGACATTTTACTTTCTGGTAAGCTCCTAGATGCATGTGAAGAAGATGCTGTTTAATAAATGGGCTTCACACTCTGAGCAGGTGTTAACAATGAAATTAAAACACTAGTTGGAGCGAGATTAGCGTCTCTCATCTCTGTCAAACATGCCTGATTGCCCGAGAAGGATTGCGTTGTGCTAAACGTGTATACAGTGGATGAGATAACACTTTTTTGTCCAGGCAAAGGAGGACAGAAACACAGCGATTACAGCTCGTGTATATTGGAAGTTTGAAAGCCTTCAAGCATCTCTGACTCCTACACATTCCCAGGCAGCAAAGGTAACAGCTTTTACATAAATGTGAGGCTATAAACTACTCGAATGAATTCTATTTGCAGGGCTGTGAAAAGTCAAATGGCTGAGTGAGATCTTGATTGAAAGAAATGGTTTCAAAATCCTTAGGTGGTTAAAATATATACTCTATGTAACTTCACCAGATATTACAGTTTTCTCCACATTAATGTTGGGGTACATATAATTGCAGTGTAATGCATCACATATTTATGCAGATGTATTTAGTTAAAAGATGAAGAGCCAGGGTAGGCATGTGGTCAGTGCTGTGGTCTTGTAATGTGAGGCTGCAGGTTTGAGCCCAGGTTTTGTCCGAAAGGGGATTTGGCATAAAACTACTGCCAAATATTTAATTGGCCCAACAGTGATTGTGAATTCAACTGAGTAATACAACAGTTTCACACATTTTATTCAAGAATACCAAATTATTTAATTCATCCATCCATATTACACCTGACTGATCCTGTTCAGGGTGACAGATCTGCTGTTAATCACCAGTAATCAATGGGTGATATGCTGGATCCACTATAGACAGGTCAACAGGACATCACAGAGCCACTTAAAGACGAACAACCATACACACACTCCCACCTTGGGCAAGTTTAGAAACTCCATAAACCCAACATCAGGGCTTAATTTGAGCCAGATCCTGCCGAAACAAAATATAGGAACTCTTATTTTGACAGAGTGCTTCCGGTAACTGTTTGCTTGGATCTGGTAATTTTCAGGCTTACTAATTATAAAGTTATGGACACAAATGACTGCCTTGAATGAATACAACTTATATTGGATATCCATCCATCCATCCATTTTCTTCCGCTTATCTGGGGTTGGGTCGCGGGGGTAGCAGTCCAAGTAGGGAGGCCCAGACTTCCCTCTCCCCAGCCACTTGGGCCAGCTCTTCCGGGGGAATCCCGAGGCGTTCCCAGGCCAGCCGAGAAACATAGTCCCTCCAGCGTGTCCTGGGTCTTCCTCTGGGCCTCCTTCCGGTGGGACATGTCCGGAACACCTCACCAGGGAGGTGTCCAGAAGGCATCCTAAACAGATGCCCAATTGGAAATGTATTGGATATGTAAACTGAAAATAATTACACGAGTAATAATTTTAAAGACAACAGCATACGATCTGCTTTTTCAAGTGAATAATTTCCGCATCTACCCTTAACGAAATCTCCTCCCCTAAAAGAGTGGTGGGGGGAAGTGCCGAGCAGGCAGTCGTGTCATATGAGGGTAAAGGGCTCACAGCCGCAGGCAGGTGCCTGGAGGTTTCACACTTGGATTGACAATGAGCAGGGACAGTTGGGCTCGCTTTCAAGCTCGACTTAATTGACAATTCCGTCAAGTAAGGGGGGTGTGAGCTTGACAGAAGCAGAGTGTTTACAAATGTAGTTAAACATAGATGTTTAACAAACTGTTAAGATACACCAAACTACAAGAAATCACATCTATTTTATTCAAAAATTTCAGGGGAACAACCCTTCCTCCCCCCGCCAGCCCACCCACTATTTGCGTTCCGGCATCAGCCAGTTTACAAATTAAGCCCTGCCTAACATGCACATTTGAATTATGGGACAAAAACAGTAGTTGGAGAAAATTTATACAAGTAAAGGAAAGCATTTACAGACATGGCCCAGCCAGGACTCATACCCAGGATCTACTTGCTGCAAGACAGCAGTGCTAAAACACAGACACACAGCCGCTGTGGTGTAGAGGTAGAGCAGCCGACTTGGGACCAGAAAGTTGCAGGTTCAACTCCCCACCATGTCCACATGTTGTGGTGTCTCTGAGCAAGTAATTGAACACCTAACTGTTCCCTAGACACTTACATAGCTGCCCACTGCTCCACCTGTGCGAATCTCAAATGCCATGTGTTAAAAACAGAGCACACATTTTGTCATTGTATGGGAACATAAAATAATGACAACACATAGCACTTTATTCTAGAATTCACTGTTCTAGAATTGTGCCGCTCAAGGTGGCTGCATGTTGGGGCAGCTCTGTTACATTCATTTTGAGATTTTGCTTTTGGAAACTTTAATTCCTCTTTTTATGGATGTAAATCACAATTTTTTGGATGATTGTTTCCTCTGGTATCGGATGTTGTACAGCTGGAAGGATTTTTACTGAAACTTTTTTAGTTTTGGACATTTGTTATGATGCGTAACCATAGCAACAAGGCAGTTTTCTACAACCAACAGCAGCTGATTAACATCTCAACGGCTCAAATAATATCTCAACTACAGCCCCAAATCTCGAGTGAGTTGAAAAGGATGTTTTGTGGACGCTTTCTCATCTACCTGCCAGCTGTGCTCGAGTGCCTGACCACTGAGATCCTGGAACTAGCAGGAAACACGACTCATGACAGCGGAAAGACAGGATCGTCTTTTGGCACCTACAGCTGGCTGCCCGCAGCTACCAGGAACTTGGCAGACTGCTGGGAGGAGTGACCATCACTCTGGGAGGAGTTCTGCCCAGCATTTGGGCGGTTCTACAGCCCGAGGGGAACCGAGAGGCCAGCCGAGTCTTGGTGGATGGATCGGACGGCATCTGCAGCCAGTTTCTTCCACTGTGGGATGGACCTTTACAAGAGATCCTTCCTGCCTACATCCATCAGTATCTATAACATCTCTTAATGAAATGAGGATAACGAGTTACAACAACAAATAATTTCCCTTTGGGATTAATAAAGTATTTTTGAATTGAATTGAATTGAATTTATTTCTAACGAACTGGCCATTGTGCAGCTTTAAGACCAAATTTTGCATTTTTCACAAAAAGTTTTCACTGCATGTTTTATGTATTCCTATTTTCAAATATTGCAACATGTACTGCATGTATCAGATGCAATTAGCTTAGAACTGTGATAAAATAATACACGACCATCAAAACTTAAACTGTTACTTTGTTTAGTTGTGTGTGGTGTTTGATGCTTGTGCATTCGTCCATGGCCACAACAGACAACTTTTTTTTTTTTAATGATGAACTTGAAAGCCTCCATCATACGGTAGTGCTTCTTTTGATTTAGGGTGCTTACTGAAGCTACACTGTTTTTCCTGCTTTCTAGCCATCCTCTTGAGACTGCTGGATTTGAAGTTTTGAGGGCTTCATTGTGATTCACATCAAGAGAAACCATTCTCCCAACGAATTACCTTGATCTGTCGTCCCTGAGGGGAAAGTGTAAAGACAAAGCAGTGGAATGTACTTAGGGCACACCAAGAATAAAACTGTTCTCTGAAATGTCAAAATCTGTTAGGGAGAGCAGTGCTACCCCTCTGGTTGTACCCATGCTGCACCTGAAACTGAACTTGTTAGACTTGTTCAAAGTGAGAAAGCTAAGTTTTTAACCAAGAAAGAACATAAAACTTTGAATGGCCACTTACCAACTGGTGACATCTCTGGAACACTGGCTGTATACGGTCCCTCCAGGAACTTTGGTTCATTGTCATTGATATCTTGGACCTTGATAACAAATTCTGATTCAGGCTCCAGTGGGATATTGGTGTCAATGTCCACAGCCTGGGCGCGGAGGGTGTAGTAAGGCTTCTCCTCTCTGTCAAGACTCCTTAAGGCATGGATGTCCCCGGTAGTTTGGTCAATTGTGAAAATGGAGCCAGCACCATCCCCTGAGAGGGTGTACTTCACCGAACTGTCCCCCTTATCGAGGTCAGTGTGGAGCTGCAAGACAAAAGAGGAAAAAAAAGACAGGTTGAGTGCAAACATTGGCACAGATAATGGTTCAATGAAAACACTGGGGAAGAGCTGTCTGGGGAAACTATTTCACAATGACAGTCAAGGTAACTGACTGCACATCAAAGAGCAAATTCATCTCTCTGCAACGATCTGCAAAACACCAAGTGGGGAAAAAAAAGAATGGAATGAATCTGCTTTCAGAACATTTCCCAGAATAATGAGGCTACATCTTTCATAAATAATGCATTCCCTTATTGCAATTACACTGCAATGACATCCCTTCAGCTTCTTAAACCCATTGCCATTTAAGCACAAAAAAGTCCCATTAGACAAGAGCAATGATTTTAACTTAAATAGTTAATATTAAATGGTAAAATGCTACATGAATACCTGCACATCACAACCAGTATTTCTAAAACCTTTTTGTCCTGGCAATAAAACTCTGTGACCAGAGGATGCTCAGCACAGTTGCAAAATAACACATCTACTGTCAGAAAGCATCTCTGTTTCTATAGATCCAGGTCTGTGCCATCTCACTTTTTTTACAACCGAACAAACAAATTCTGGGCTGGTGGTAGAAACCTTGTTGACATAGTTGTCTTTACTTTATTTCAGTAAACAACTCTAATATTCAAAGCTTTTTAAATATTTACAGACTCTAATGTAATGTAATCATCAACCATAGTGGGTTATAGATTTTTTTCTTTATGTCTGGTCAGTGGCATGAGATTTCAACTTGTACTGTTGAAAAGCAGTTTCACTCCAGCAGACAACAAGTAATATATCAAGCACTGAAGCAGGAGCGTGTACCCAATTCCCAGGAGGCTAGGTCATTTATTGGCTATTTGCAAAATGGTTATTTGTATTTATTTATTTGTTTGTCTGTTATTTGTATTTGTTTATTTATTCATGTTTTATGAATTTGTTTATTTATTCAATTATCCATCCATCCATCCATCCATCCATCCATCCATCCATCCATCCATCCATCCATCCATCCA